TAAAGTTGTGCCCAAAAACAAGCCACGATTTTAGGAAACGTACAGGCCACTACAGGAGCGCCCGAATTCATCCGACTAGAAACGTTTCTACTCTATTTTTTCCCACAGCTGATAGCTGGGCCAAGTACTGGTGGTTTAAGGCTGTTTCGTTTTTTTTTTCTTTTTTTTTGTGGCCGCACATGGGCGAAAGTGAGTTTGGGTGAGAGTTCTTTTTTTGCATGTTTTTTTTTTTTCAGGTTCTTTTTTAATGTCTGGACAATTCCGGACGTTCCAGACAGTCTGGACTGTCCAGATCCCATCATATCGGGATGTCTGGATATGTCCAGACTGGACGTCTGGACGGGTCCAGACATGCACCGTCCAGACGTGCATCTGGTCGGACGTTCGACGATGTCTGGGTCTGGGTCCGTCTTAGCCATGGTCTAAACACTAAACGAAATCACCAATCCCAAACCCTTCTGATCTTTGCCTTAAAGAGTGTGTGTGTGTGTGTGTATGTGTGTGCGTGTGTGTGTGTGTGTGTGTGTGTGTGTGTGTGTGTGTGTGTGTGTGTGTGTGTGTGTGTGTGTGCGTGTGTGTTTGGTATTTTCACCACAACAGCCCCTAAAAGTAAGAGTGTGTGTGTGTATGTGTGTTTGCCCCCTGTTGTGCTTTTTTGTGATTTTCTGCTTGTCTGTGCAGATATCTTGCCATCCGTCACCCCCCTCTTTCCTGGGGACTCTACGTTTGTCAGGCAGTCGATTCCGCCTGGTGAAATGGGAATCTCCTACTTCAGCTTCTTTATTCCGTCCACTGCAATCGATACAACCGTCTACTTCAAGTATGTGGACGGTGTGGGAGACCATGTGCAGCTGCTGCTGAATGTGTGGGGTTCTCTACCCTGCAGTCCCGGTCTCTCATTCTGTATTGCGAATCCAGCGAAGAGGGTGATCCCAATGGCAGACTTTGTGAAAGATGTAGATCTCCTTTCTGTTGACGAGATAACGGAATGGCCGCACCCACTCTATAGCACTGGAAAATGGGTCCTTGGGATCATCGGTGATGGCGACCTCGTATTTGAAGTTGGCGTCAACATCACAGGTTAGCGCTGTGTAGACAGCATCATGCTGCCAGACAGATTCCGCTGACGCTATTTCCGTTTGCTGTGTGTGCATGAACCTGCCTGTCATGTTGACCACATTCCAAAAGTCACCCATACCACCATCTGGGCCAAGTGCGACATGTATTGTGACTATTGTCTGATACACCGAAAGGGAGAAAAGGACAAGAAACAGGCAGCTAACTTAGTAATAAACTCTTTTTTTTCCCTTTTTTTATAACAGAACCTCTCGGTTCTGGCTCCTGCCATTCTGGGGAGCAACAACTTGGTAATAAACTCACGGCAATTGCTATCTCATCTTCAATATCCAACAGTAAATTGTTTGAGTATGGTAGTAGGAACTACCATACTCAACCAATATCCAAGTGCGACATCTAGTTTTTAGTACTTTTACTCTTATAACAAACAGGTTGTATGTGGTATTCAATACTATTCATTGAATTTCATTCTTGGTTGACTCTTCGATTGAGATCGACAGACTCTCGAAAAAACTAGTTTGTTCCTCTTTACCACATGGCCTACGTTATAAGTACTTATTACCTTGATTTATTTTTGTACTTCACATCAAACTGAGGACGAAGCTTGTTGGTAACGAAGTAAATGGGATAGAATCCCTCCACAGTGTCCACACATATGGTGTCGTTTCCCTATATGTCTGCAGAATATGCATGTGGAAAGGATGAAAATACTAATAGTGATTTTTAAATGGTCTCGTTTTTCAATAAATGGGAAGTCGGTGGTGTACTATAACATCAATGCAGAATGGACCTGCCTCAGGCTGGCTGTAATCAGGCACTGCTGTAAAGCTGGGATTTGTACACAATCTCTGCACATGCTTTTTAGTGACTGAACGGCTTCCAAGGCAACCTCCCTCCCTCTGTCAGTTGTTGTCTGCCTGTCTCTCTCTCTCTCTCTCTCTCTCTCTCTCTCTCTCTCTCTCTCTCTC